TTTGACAACTTGGGAAATGGCTCTAATGTTGGCCTATGTATTTCAGATTGGGACCATCGCTAAAAATCTGCTATTTTTCAATTTTACCTAGATGAACGTGTCATTGGCACGGTACAAATTGGTATTTTTGGTCGCTATTGAAAATTTAGTCGATTACTGAATTTATGTATGGGCCCAAATTAGGGGCATTTACGCCGACATTACATCCATTTCTCCTATATAGCGGTGCGGTAATTTGGAACCGTTGAATATTTCAGTCACTCCCTGATACATTTTCCGTGGTGGTAGACCACAAGTTGACATAACCCCTAATACTTTGTTTTAATATAGTGTAAAAAACACCAATGTGTATGTGCCGCAGTTATACCACCGACGGCCGACGTGCCAGCTCTTAGAAGCTACATTCACATTCTTGCCCAAGATACTATATTTAAAATACGTTAAACACTACTGGCATCTACTCATTATACCGTGAGCAAGGACACGAACACATGTAAAATTTATATTCACTAGGTTTGCGTCTCGCCTCGGTTGACAGATCTAATCGCTCGTTTGACAGATCGAATCGCGAATTTGTCAAATCGAATTGTCAACAAACGAAATGCTCCAGAGGCATGTCGGTTCGTCGGTGTTTATACTACAAAAATGAAATGAAAATGTTTATGAGAATATATTGCCTTTTTGGATTTTGCTCTCAGGTGCTTGATTCCATCTGGGCTAAAACCCTGAATTTTTGAAATTTTAATAAATTATATCTTTGAAGGGTTTTTAATGTAGAATCAAATAGATTAATCAAAATTTGACGAGGGTTTTCGAAACTACAGTAAAGAGCCAGATTATTGGAAGGCATCCAAAAAAGACCCAAGCCACGCGGGATTTGTTGTTTTTCAAGATTGGATTATGGCTTATGAGATGTGGCTATATCTTGGAATAGAGATTACTGCGCAATTAATCAAATTATGTGTATTCTCGACCCACAATTTTAAAGGGATTTTAATGTAGAATTTCATTGATTTATCAAAATCAGTTGCATCACGTAACCTCACTTTCTACCTGTTCAACTACTTTGAAAACGTTATTTAGGGACATATTTACATTCAAATCAGTTTCAAAAGGCACAGAAGGTTCATCTAAATTCACTGATTGGTATCCGTTAGAACCGTTTGTTTACGTTTTGAGAGTTGTTGAACAGGTATATTGAAGTAAGGGCGGCGCTCAAAACTGATCAATTTTTTTTTCAACACAAATCTTCAGTAAAGAGGCAGATTATTGGAAGGTAGGGAAGAGCGCTACTTCGTCGTAATCGCCCATTTCCGTTCTATCGAGCAGAAATCATCAATAATATCAATGATTTCAAGAGCAAATTTTCATTATGTCGTAAGTAACATTCGCACCAATCCGAGAAAAATAAAGTTTTGTTTTGATGACCGAAAAGTTATTCCTATTTCCAAGTAAACACATATAATCTCATAGTGATAGCAATGTTTAACATATTTAGCAGGGTTTTTATCATACAAATGCAAATCGCTAGCTTTCATGCTAAAAAATACTGGTTTTTGAGTCAAAAGTTATTAAACGTCGTTTGGTGGCCCCTATTGTTGCTTAAGTCAAAGTGTATTTACCAGGATATTCGGGAGAATTATCAATTACGTCACCTTACGTGCAGCCCATTCATCATTTTAGGACTACCGAAATCATCTTAGCAACAAACAGTTCGATTTATTCACTTTAATAATGAGAAAGCGAAACGACGAACGTACACTTTTCACGGGTTTCTCAGCGCTGTTACTTAAGTCAAACGGCATCTCCATAGAAATTGGGTGACTTAAGTAACATCGAAAACTATTTTGATCGGAAGGTGATTACGTCAAAAAGCAATTTGACTGGCAAATAAATTTAAAAATAGGATTTGATCCTATATTCGGACAGTATATAGTGTAATAGCAGGAGAATCGATTGACACTGATAGCTCGACTTTGTTTACCTTCGTTACATTCGACGTAATGAAAATTTGCTCTTGATTTCACCATGCACAAAACAATAATACGTTTGTTCCGATGCGTTAGTTCATTAGCTACGACATTAATCCTATTAGAGCGCATTGTATGCATATTTACGCTCATTGTTCTCAAAACAAAAGAAGCGCTCCTTGCGCATTCCCTTTTTCTCCGTTTATCCGTAGGATGAAGAAAATCTAATGGCGTTTCAATGCGTTTGGACGGAATTGAAACGCGTAGGACGAATTTAGAAGCAAGAAGCAGTGTTAGATTTTTAATAATATCTCAACATTGTTTGAATCTTTATCAAATCCAATGGTACGTATGGAAAGGTGGATAAATTTAGAAGTTATCTTTGATGAAAACATTCCATGTTTTGTTCAAAAGCTTTCCAAAAAGCGTGGTAAAGTGCGGGATGTCCTTAGTAGGACGGAAATTAGATCAAAAACCCTACCCAAGTTTTCAAAAAAGACCCCTTTTCGTATCGCTCGGATTTTGTTATTTTTTCATGATTCTGACCTAAAGTTCCCTCCACATATTGTACTAGAAGTGATCCGAAAAAAAACATGGTTTTAAACTACAGCTTATGAGATATGACCAGATGGATGAGTACAGGCAATTTCGAGCTATGCAGCCTGAAATTCACTATAACTTTAAATAGGGGAAATGGATGTTATGTCGGCCTAAATGCCCCTAATTTGGGCCCATGAATTTTCAATAGCGACCGATAATATCCATTATTTCCTTCCCAATGACGCTTTCATCAAGATAAAATTGATAAATAGCAGATTTTTAACGATGGGCCTAATCTTAGATCCATATGCCAACATTAGAGCCATTTCCCCTACCTATTTGTAATATATTTCAAGCGTTCAGAATCGCAAGGGCCTAACTGCGATGGTCAATTATCTCCATCGATTTCCTCTTTGGATTACTACAGTTAAGTTAACCAACTTCCCGATGATTTCCAAAGCAGTATTGCAAAAGGTTGTATAGGCTAGTAAAAGCAATAACAAACACGTCGAAAAAAGACAATCTAGCCGAGTTATTGACAAAAGAGACAATCGAAGCAGAATGAATCGATCATTGCAGCTAGCCCATTATGATTCTGAAAGAAGAAGAGATTATATGGCCATTTCCGGATTGCTCACAAAATTCGAAGAGCAAAGATATGTCGCGCGATAAGTTTCTGATGTAGTGGATAATTGGCCACTTCTCCCAGGGCTTGCGCAACCTGTTTCGAGGCCACCATGTGGCCAATGTGTTCCAGTAGAGATTATATGGCCTCTTCCGAATTGCTCACAAAATTCTGTGAACAATGATATGTCGCTCGATAGGTTTCTGTAGTAGTGAGAAATTGGCCACTTCCCCCAGGGCTTCCGGCACCTACTCAGAGAGCACCAGATGGCCAATGTGATCCATAAAAAATAATATGCCCTTTTTTGGATTGTCCAGAAAATGCTGAGATATGTCGCTCAGTGGGTTTCTGTTGTAGTCAAAATTTGGCCACTTCTGGGGCCTTCACATGTCCAATGTGTTGCAGCAGGATCATGAATGTTTTTTTTTACGACAGCCAACAAAGTTAAATGATTTATGGCATAGCTGCAGTTAGTATGAAAAATCACAAAAGCTACACTCATATCTACCCCCTACAAAAAGAAACATAAAGAGACGTGCCCCCCCCCCCCCCTTGATAACACATCAAGCAGATTTCAAATTAGTTATGTAGTCGTCGGGAACGAGTTATTAGAGTAAATCAAAATTCGTCCCGGTCAGTTAAGGGTAAAAATTAAATATCTACTTAACAAAAATCATTGTTTTTGATGATAATTGGGGTTCCAGATACTTGCATTTAAAATTACAATTTAAAATAAATAGAAATGATGGCAACACTGTAGAATACATCTGACGTCCAAAATCCTTCAAAAATTTTACCCAATGTCGTTTGTATCTTCAATGATTTCAGAGATACGTCAAAATGAAAATTGATGTTTATTAAAAATGCGAGAGTGGTCCACAGATACGAGCAGACCGATCACTTGAGATACCCATATTCGCCTTTTATGATTCCAAAAGGGCCCCCTCAATGGCTTCGATTGTCGATTTGTCGTAACTGCTAGTTCGGCTGCTCTAACTAACACCACTATAAGATATGGGAAATTTCCCCTTCCTTGTTATGGTGGTGTTAGTCTGCGTGGGTGAACTTACGACAAATCAGCGATCGAAGTCATTGTTTACAAAAACAATTGAGTCGATATCAATAGTTGCGCCTGAAATGTATGTATACTATCATTTGTTTATTAGTGAAAGCTTGTCCTTGTATGCATAGATAGTGAGGAAACACCGGTGAAGTCGCGATAGTAAGCAAAAGAGGTGATCGATTTTTATAATCCACGGAAGCAGATTGAACCCATTTTCGAAAACTATTCACGCATGCATGTCCACAGGGGCTTAACTGCATGGCTTCTGGACTGCGCCATCCAAAAACGAAAAGCATGGAAAAATGGCATGACGCAAATATCACACCCATACACACACATACCGGCAAAGCATACTCCCAAAATACAGTAACCATAACCAGGGTGCAATGTGCATGCGTGTTCAACCCAGACCTATGAACCTGACGTTTCTTAACAAACTTCAACACTGACCATTTTGTAAATTACCAAGCAAACTATACCCCCCTCCATTCAATCCCCTTTCCTAAAACTCCCCCGGAAATCGAACATCATCATCATCACGTGGCTAACCAGAAGGCTACATCTGTTTCACTGTTGTTAACCATAATGCAATCAAAATTTGTATCACATGTCCTACTAACACCCTCCCCCGACTACGTGGCTCAATCTATGGGAAAAGACCGAAATTAGGACTGGTGCATGTACATTTCGTCTTTGACCATGGATAATTGTGCTAAACCGTAACTACTAACCTCGAATCATGATCCAGTCAAACCTTCGAGAACATAAACTAATCCACTCTCGATTCGAACCATCCATCTAGGTGCACATCTCGAAAGAGTATCTTCAGCTGGAACCGATCGGTTTGGTGTTCGTGTTCTTCTTCGCGCTGATCCTGGTGATCCAGTTTACTGCCATGTTGTTCCATCGTTTCGGAACCCTGTCGCATATCCTCGCCTCAACCGAGCTCAACTGGGGCTGCAACAAGAAACCGGAGGAGCTCTCGCAAGATGCTCTGATAGACAAGGTAAAATTTGTTGATTCCCATTTCAACTAATTCTCATCGCGAGTTCCCATCCTAATTCAGCACGCGGTGGAGATAGTAAAGAATCTCCAGAGGCTTCAAGGTATAGACGGGGACTATGACAACGATTCCGGCAGTGGACCGGATCGGATAGCACGCCGTAGAACGATTCAGAATCTGGAGAAGGCTCGGCAACCCCGCCGACAGATTGGTACACTGGATGTGGCGTTCAAGAAGCGATTCCTCAAGTTGACGGCCGATGAGAACAACAGCGGAACGCCAATCCTGACCCGTCGTATGACGATGCGCCGCGAGACGATACGTGCCTTGGAGGTGCGCAAGAACTCGGTTATGGCTGAGAGACGCAAATCGCAGATGCAGACGCTGGGAGCGAACAATGAGTATGGAATTACCGGAGTGAACACCGTAAGTGCACCCAGATTTATCTATCTTGATACATACATCTCACAAAAGTTTCTATTCACAGACTAACAACAACGCTCCACCACGTCCATTGCGAACATCGAACGCCGGTGTTAGCGTGAAGGACATCTTCAATGTGAACGGTGGTCCGGGAGGCGACATCTACGGCGTTACCGGTCAGGTCAATCAGGCCTACGAACCCGTCGTCGAAGATGACGACCGTAATTCGCTTCGGTTGCAACCCCGCAACCAGGTGACGTGGAGCAATAACAATGGACGGCTGTGACAAAACCGGAGATCGTCCTTGTGCAGCATGTTACCTCTCGTCGAGCCTCGTCGGGAGGATTGTGATGTCCTAAATCTTGATGGAGCGTAAAACGTGTTCTAGCAATAAGCAATTCAATGTTAACTTCGTTGGATGTGAAACGAGTTCGTTGGATGTGACAACTGATAATTTATAGCACAATTAGAAAGTACCAACTGATACTCTAACTATGGAAGCAAACAGACAACTGCCGATATGATTTTTTTTTCTTGTGAAATAGGATTAACGCACACGTATTCTTCTAAGCCTTACTACAACCAATCAACGGAGAACTGCCAATTGATATACTCACAGTTTTGATACGTCGACAAAACAGGACGAACTTACGCGAAAGGAAATACTCAATAGATTTAAAACTAACGAATTAAGAAAAGCAACCGCATGAAAATTCATTTCCATTATTTGCGTTCAGGTCGCAACAAGTAGGAGTTCAAAATTTAGAAATACTACCAACAAAAAAATTGATTTCGAAACGCCTATTGCATATTTATTTCCTAGAGAATAAAATCAATTTTAGGCCCCTCCTTCTTTCCTCTTCACATCCTCTACTCTATCGTCGCTAACCTTGAAAGCAGATAGGTGAAGAACGATCGCTAAATTCAATCTCGTTTATGTAAATATGCCTCGAAACTATCACTCTGTATGAGATTTTTTTTATCGTGTTTCATTAAGTACTTCTCTATCGTTCATTAGTTCAATTATGTTTTGTCAGTGCGAGGGAATCACCTTCCTTTCACAATGTGTAAATCTTAAACCATGGAAAAAGTGAAATAAAATTGATAGACTTATTATACATTTTTATACAAACATTTGCTGGCGTTAATGTAACTGGAAAGAAAAGCTCCCGGAAGTTTTCGTATTGTTGGCTGTATGTGTATCGTAGATACATACCGTGGAGTGTTGTAATTTCACGAAATTAAAAATATCGCTAAAGGTCAAGATTGATAGAAGTCACAAGTCTAGATGAACATTTCAAAAGATCCTATCTGCTTTGATCGATTATCATGATCGACTTGCTCTTTTGATAACCACTGCTATGCATACACATTTTGTGCTATTTTTAACACATAAAGGGTGATACGGTCAAAATTTGGTCAATATCAACTTGACGTATTTCTTTCAATTTTGCATTTAAAAAACCTGAACACCCCTCATTTTGAAGGTGTGTGTGTGTAGAATGTTGCTCCTATTTTGATTTTGAAGAAGAGCAGCGTATCAAAATTTTGCTCGCGCATCGCCAAAATCCGAGCTACTCGCACGCAAAGTTGGCAAAACCGCTAAAAGTTGCCAAATCAACCGTTACAAATGTAATTAAAGTGTTTGGGGAACGTTTGTCGACAGCCAGGAAGTCTGGATCGGGGGGAAATCGAAAACCGGAAGCCGCTGAGACGACAAAGAGAGTTGCCGGTAGTTTCAAGCGAAACCCTAACCTCTCTCTCCGAGATGCCGCAAATAAGCTGGGTGTATCGTCTACAACCGTGCATCGAGCCAAAAAACGAGCCGGACTATCGACTTACAAGAAGGTAGTGACTCCAAATCGCGATGATAAACAAAATACGACGGCCAAAGCGCGATCCCGGAGGCTGTACACGACGATGCTGACGAAGTTTGACTGCGTGGTAATGGACGACGAAACCTACGTCAAAGCCGACTACAAGCAGCTTCCGGGACAGGAGTTTTATACGGCAAAAGGAAGGGGAAAGGTAGCAGATGTTTTCAAGCACATGAAACTGTCAAAGTTCGCAAAGAAATATCTGGTTTGGCAAGCCATCTGTACCTGTGGCTTGAAAAGCAGCATTTTCATAGCTTCCGGGACTGTCAACCAAGAAATTTACGTGAAAGAGTGTTTGAATAAATGTCTGCTGCCTTTCCTGAAGAAACACGGTTGTTCCGTACTGTTTTGGCCGGATTTGGCATCTTGCCATTACGGTAAAAAGGCCATGGAGTGGTACGCCGCCAACAACGTGCAGGTGGTTCCCAAGGACAAGAACCCTCCCAACACGCCAGAGCTCCGCCCAATTGAGAAATACTGGGCTATTGTCAAGCAGAACCTAAAGAAGACCAAAAAAACTGCTAAGGGCGAGCAGCAGTTCAAGGCAAACTGGCTTTCTGCGGCGAAGAAGGTGGACAAGGTGGCTGTACAAAATCTGATGGCAGGGGTCAAGCGTAAGGCCCGGCAATTCGGATTTGGAAAAGCGGAAGCCTAACTGAATATTTTTCCTGAATTTTATACTAATTGAACTTGAAAAAGAAATTTAATTTGATTTTTTAAATAAACGATTTCACCGATTTACAAGCGTTTTCCCTTGACCAAATTTTGACCGTATCACCCTTTAGTTTGATAAAGGAAGATCTTATCTAGCTTAAAAATTTGTCTAGGTTTTAACTACCTTGAAAATTCGCTAAGAACTCGTCCAGATTTTTTTCTGAATGATCTCAAGAAAGTTCGTTAGTAACGTTAAATTTGAGATTCTCTCTGATAATTGCATTAAAATTTCTATATAACATTCCATGGAATTCATTTTCAGTTTCTCTTCGATTTTTCAATGATTCTTTCAAAAATTCACTGAAGCCTCCCATAATTCCCTTTCAAATTTGATTGAATTCTGCTCCCATGTTATTTACCTCAGAATTGCTTAAAATACTGCTAAGAATTATCTTGGAGTTCTCTTAAAAATGTTTCTGAAAATTCACTTGGAATTTTCCACAGAATTCTCTAGAAATTCTTCTCGAGATGCTTTTGGAAATATGCTCGGAAAAACCATAAAACCCTTCACAAAATTCTTGAAAATTCGATTTTCTTTATATTTTTTCGTGGAATTGGGTTCTTTAATTTTGAAAAATATATCGGTTTTTATATATCGTCGGAAAGAGCTTCGTTTTCTGAGCACAGCGATATTTTTTTTTTTTGAACCCACACACTTTCATCTCGATTTTAAAATCAAGATTTAAAGCAAAATAATAACTTCACTCCTAAAAATCTAGTCCAGTCCATGTGCCTTACAATTTGTTTAGGTACAGTATATTTTTTCCCGATGTGTCTTCGAAATTGACGGGCTTTTCCCGGAAGCTCCTACCTAGCGTCCAAAATGTCAAATACAACAGGAAACATCCTTCACAATTAGAACGTAACAAAAATTATAAATGTCTTTCTTTTATTTGTCCCCATAGAATTGCAATGATCGGGGTTGGTTTTTGAAAATTTTCAAGTGACTGCCGGAAGAATTAGTCTATGGTGACCAATTAAACACCGGACCACAGACAAAGTGACTTAGCTAATTGAATCCTCACTAAAACACCACCACCATCTGTTGTGTATACTGTGAAGGACAGTACGCTGAACAGATGGCGGTACTACCAAGTAAAAAAACATTTAAATTGACCTTTAAATGCGTGTTCGATGAACAACTTGCGAGCGTTATGTCTTTTTGTCTGTGGTTATAGAGTATATGACCTTAGAAGCAAAAAAGATTGTAGTTGTTCGCGATGTAATTTTTGATGAAAACGCTACTACTGAGCCAATGAAATGTTTTCCAGATAAAGGTGATGTAAGCGTACAATTGGTATCGGAGAACGAACAATCAGAACCGGAAGATGAATATTCAGAACCGGAAGAAGAGTGCAGTGACGATCAGGATCATGTTTTTCAATCGAACGAAGAGGTTTTCATGGATTTCACTCGTGTGAAGATGATGGCGATGGTGATGTTCAAGAAGAAGCTACACAGGAACCTCGGACTAGGAACCAAGACTACGCTATGGATTTCGCTGGTTTCTCTTTGAGTTCAATGAATAATCTTCCAGATGCACTAGATGTTTTTTTTTAATTATTTTATTTGTACAGGCTCGATCGAACAAACTTTATAGAGCCAAGTTATCATTTCCGTTATTAATGTCGTAAATCTAAAGTTCAAGTAATTCAACCGAATACTCGCGGTTTTCTCAAGGTTAGTGAATGACAATTTTATGAATGTCACAAATGGAATTGTTACAGAAAAAAACCACACACACACAATACAAACTAAACACAAGGTGAATCAAACTTACAATCTAAGGTTAATAGTCTTAAAGAAAACATATAGGGGAATTTACGTATTCTCGGCAACCTAAGCAGCGACCATCTTTCTATAGCCTTTTTCTCTAAGGAACGCACACATATGCAGTATTGGTTTATTTACAATCTTTTGCGGCTCACTGCTCTAACAATTTCAGTCGAAAGAATTGTCAAAAACTGTTTTGAAACGCTTTTACAAAGCTCCAATCTTCTCTAGTGAGAGCGACTATTGTGGGCAACATCTTTTTATTCGGCAACCTTTCTATTTGAGCTGCGCTTTCTTCGGACTCGAAATCAGCAGCATTTTGTAGTGCGTGTGTTTCATTTGAAGAAAACCTTGCTAGATTGCTTTTCTCAGTGGTAAAAATATAATCAAATTGAAGCTGAAAGCCTAAAGAATCGCTTGAATGCATTCAGCTAAGTGTTTTCCTAATAAAATCCCGTGAAAATAGCGTTTCCATTTGGGTTGCCGAAAATAGTCTGTCATGCCGAAGCCATCATTTCCCCTATGAGTTTCCATAAACTCCAGATCGCGTCTAGCCAAAATATCCCGAACTGGAACATTAGGTTGTTTACCTCGAGCCCGAAGGTAATCGTATAGCTCAGATCTGACTCCATGATGCTCGGCACAAGACCAAATAATGTGGTCTGCGTCCTGGTAGCCTTGTCCATATTCTCAGAGATTGCTGTCCCCCAGCCCAACACGGAACAAGTGAGCGTTTAACGAATAGTGATTGGGTATGAGACGAGACATCCCACGAATGAAGTCTCGACCCACCTCCAACCCTTTAAACCAAGGATACACCTTAGGGATGATCGAATATAGCCATCGTCTCAAACTCCCTTCACTGGCGAGCGACTAGGTGAACGTATGAAATGTGACGATTGGGTACACTAGCAAGCGGCTGTGAATGACGAAATGAAGTCAGTGCAGCGAATTCTGGTAATATAGCAGTTCTTGCTGTGCCAAACGGAGGGATGTTACCAAACACCAAAACAGAGAGAGAAAAAAGAAGAAGCAGCGAAATCATTTCAGCTAAAACAATGTTTTTTTTAATTATGAAATAATTAGATGCCATGATCATATTTTGAATTGGTAGGATACAAGAAGAGGTTGCAAAGAATGTGTTTGACATATTAAACCTGTTTATTTCACTTCATGAGAGTCACAATCAGCGATTTTTCACACACTCACTCACTCACTCACTCACTCAGCGATCAGAAAATCGCTGATTGTGACTTATAGAAAGTAAAATTTCCAGGTTTTATGTTTCAAACACATACTTTGTAACCTCTTCTTGTAAGTTACAAGTAAAACATGCCATCATGCCATCTTTTGGTTTTATTATTCCGAAAAACATTATTTTATCTGAAATGAGTATTTGCAACCTTGAATCAAACCAGATGGCGAGCCAGATCGATTCAAGGCAAGGTTGGTGGCACGTGGCTTCACACAGCGTTATGGATTTGATTATGCCGATACATACGCATCGGTAGCAAAACTTTACACCCTCCGGACATTCCTGGCAGTGGCAAATCATCAACAGTTGATCATCCATCAAATGGACGTGAAAACTGCGGTTTTGAACGAGAGAATTGATGAAGAGATATTCATGACTCTGCCAGAGGGGTTTCAGCAGGACAACGGTATGGTACTTACTTGATACTTGATGGGCTACGAATCGCCTTGTTGATTCTGCGCTGAATGAAGTAGTCTTCTTCACTGGACTCGGTCCAGAGCTAATCGCTTCCAG